TTTGGACATGTGGAGCTCTTGCAAAAGTGTTGGAAGCACACATAACAAGTTGGGACAGCAAATGTTGTGTGTGGGACGACTTTTGCCACTCATTGAATTGCTTGTGTGTTGCGTGTTCGCTTGCAATTGAGGAGGTGCGTGTTGTCGCTGCAGTTTGCCCTGCCTTGTCAATAGTGGCATTTGTTTGTTTCGTTATAGCTCTTATCGCATGTAATTCTGCCAGGACATGTTCCACACATCCCCATATGTGGGCGTTCTTTGCGCGCTGCATTCTGTGCTTCGCCTATCCTGGTAGTCTGACAAATCTGCTCGAACTTGTCAACTACGCATTGCTTGGGCTGCCAGTTCTTTACCTTTCGCCAATTTCTTTGAAATTGCTACACATCCAAAGCAGCTTGCTTTGATCACCAGTTGATGCTGAACGGATTCTTTAGAATGCATTTCATGCTCAATCTTGAGTATGGATGGCAGCTTCCCCTCGTTTATGGCAGCCTGGAGCCATAGCTCCGATTCGAAAAAAAGCAAAATATGGCACCCGACCGGTTCACCTCGTCGGTTGTCGCCGCTTAGGTACGAGGAAGCCGAGCAAGGGGGCCGTCGCCCGGGCGGGCCAGGCGAGCACAAACCGCGGCCAGGCGAGCCGTGGGGGTTGTGGGGCGCAAAGGAAGAGGATGCCTGGGGTGGCTGGATTCCAAACATCAACTTGCTGAAATGAACATGAACATTTTTAGTTATTTTATTTTGCTGTTCTTAAATGGAATCTATCACTACCGGACATTTTTTTAAATGTTTCCAGGGGGTTTAAGCAAATGGAATAAAATAGTACCCTCTCTAACAACTGTCGGATGGTTGGAAGATCAGTTATCTTCTGGAGGGACCCCCTGTCAGGGTGTGTTAGCGGAAGGGAGGGTAATTCAATCAAACAGATATGAATTTCTATTGGGAGATTTCCTGGCTTTCACATAATGGGGCTTGCTTCTGTGTTCATCGACCACACATGGAGCACCGGCATTGCGATTGCCTGCCGGTGTGCTTGCTTTGTTAGCTTCCCATCGTTGCACTGTGGGTGTGGTACCGCCCCTTCCTTCAATATGGAAGCGGGGTAGGGTACAACCATGACGACCCGGGAGAAGATGTTGCTTTCAGCCTTCAGCAAACAATGCGCAAGGTAACAACTAGAAGTTCTGACTTTTCACACTTGAAGACAGCAAGGAGAGGGTTTAGATACCGGGTTGTGTAGCACCATATTTGACCCAGCTCGCGCACAGAAGTTTGCGAAGTTCAGCAGACACAGCAGCCATAGAGATGTGTTTCTTGCGGACGCGCGCTTGCCGTGTTGCCACGTGCATGAGTTTATGTTTTTGCGTATAGTTGATTTGCATGACGTGTGTGTGTGTGTGTGTGAAAGCTCGCACAATTTCCAAAGTGGTCGATAGTCCGACGCTTGAATCGACGCCCGTGCCCCGGGCCCTTTTTCCAAGACCTGTCACTCTCCAGGATGTTCTGGCAAGTTTCAAGCAGCACAGCGTGAACATTCGTGCAGACATGACGAGATGTGGAGTGAAGGCCGGATTTGAGTTGTCCAGGTCTGCTGGACGAAGACGACATCCCTCGGCCGAAGAAGGTCAAGCCGCGTGACAAAAGTTCAGACAGCCAGGTTTGGGAGGCGAATCAAAGCCAGTGCTGGATACATCCACTTGGGCAGGTCCCAGCTTGTTGAGCTGGGCGGATTTGGATACTCAACTTTCTTCTCCTTAAATGGCGTGCTTTACATTTTCCAAGCACCCCACACCTTTTGTGACCCAGGGAGTGTCGTCAGCTTGCTTTTTTTCAATTCTGACCAGGTCAGGGGTAGGGGCTTTCAGGTTTGTTTTGCACTAGTGCCAAGTGGACCAGGCCCAAGGACGAAGAGTTGTGAAGTGACCAAAGCCTCACCCAAAATCATAAACGAATCCAATCTACTTCACCATTTGAGCGTATTGGCTGCAAAAACGTCCAGGTTTGCAGACACCCTTTCCCGACTTGTGCATGGGGCTTGGGCTGGAATTGCTTCAGCCTAAGCTTGGCTTCCAGAGGGTGCGGCAGGCTGGGTAAAGGTCGCGTACCAGATTGTGGCCAACAGACATGTGTTTAGTCTGGGCTGTTCAAAGGTAATCCTTAATCCTTGCCTGGGGTTACGCAAGGGGTCCCCTTTGCATTGGCTTTCCTATAGGGATTAGGGATTAGGATTGGCCAACCCTCCATTTTGAACAGCCCAGTTTGTTATTGGTTGATCGTCCTACCATGCTTAGCGCTCACATGTAAATCATTGCATATCCAATCATCCACTCTGGAAGCCTGTTGGTTTGGGTGGTAACGGAGCTACTCTGGGATGTTCATGCTTTGCTTGAGCGGTTTGATTGACGGTGAGAGCCGCAAGATCCTCCTTGAGGGTTCAGGACATTACTTCAGTTACATAGATATGCAGATGCATGTCCCCAGTGTTCCTTGTGTAAACAGACGCTCTTTGACCTTAAGCCAGGTTCAGGCATTTCATTGTTTCATGCTTGCGCGGCTGTGTCTTGTTTATCTCTCCCTATCTCTTGAAACAACTTCACTGTCTATTTTATAGTATGCTTTGTTTCTGTTTCTTTTTTTCTGCTTGGAGTCGTTCTGTTTTTGTTGGCATCGAGTATCCAGCCCCTGGCCGTCTGACCGAGGCCGCAGAACCTGGAGAAGCTCTCACTCGAGGAGCTTCACCAGCGCAAGCACGACCTGAAGCAGGAGGACCTCACATCCGGCTCGTGATTTTTAGAACAGCGGGACAGCAAGGGAGGGGATGTACATCCGGAAAGGGGCCCGCTATGTTACCCAATCGCCCTTGTCCGGCAATAGAGCCGAAGTGAGAAAGAGCTGCGAAAACGTGCCAAAACGCACACGCACACGCACACGCACACGTGCGTGTGCGTGTGCGTGTGCGTGTGCGTGTGCGCGTGCGCGTGCGCGTGCGCGTGCAGGTGTGCGCGTGTGCGCGTGTGCGCGTGCGCGCGTGCGCGCGCGCGCGCGCGCGCGTGTGTGTGTGTGTGTGTGTGTGTGTGTGTGTGTGTGTGTGTGTGTGTGTGTGTGTGTGTGTGTGTGTGTGTGTGTGTGTGTGTGTGTGTGTGTGTGTGTGTGTGTGTGTGTGTGTGTGTGTGTGTGTGTGTGTGTGTGTGTGTGTGTGTGTGTGTGTGTTGTGTGTTTGTGTGTTTGTGTGTTTGTGTGTTTGTGTGTTTGTGTGTTTGTGTGTTTGTGTGTTTGTGTGTTTGTGTGTTTGTGTGTTTGTGTGTTTGTGTGTTTGTGTGTTTGTGTGTTTGTGTGTTTGTGTGTTTGTGTGTTTTTGTGTGTTTGTGTGTTTGTGTGTTTGTGTGTTTGTGTGTTTGTGTGTTTGTGTGTTTGTGTGTTTGTGTGTTTGTGTGTTTGTGTGTTTGTGTGTTGTGTGTTTGTGTGTTTGTGTGTTTGTGTGTGTGTGTGTTTGTGCACGTGTGTGTGTGTGTGTGTGCGTGTTGATGTTTTCCTTTGGTTGCCGTTTGTCTTGAGCCGAGTAATCTACAGGCCCGTCCAACTCTAAACTGGTTGTTTGAATATGCCTATGCTCCAAAATAAATACCTTGCTTTCACGCTTCTTCCATAGGTTTGAGACTTCTTGATTGCACATGCAGATAATCATTAATATACACACATATGTATATATATATATTTATGTATATGCATCTGGGTGTTTTGATTTTAGGGACATCCCAGTATACAGTATACATATATATATATATATGTAAATTTATACGTAAATTGTGGTTTTCTTGTTGCTCTCCCTTTAAGACCACAAACAAGGGCACCCTCAAACAACAGATGCACCCATGTGAGGGTCATGCCAGCGAATTCAGAATTGTTTAGTTCAGGTGACCTGCACTTGTTCTCTGAGTTCCTGGACTTCGAACTTTTTTGGTGGCAAGATCAAACAATGTCTCTTCTGTGGTGGCGACTTTTTGTTTGGCTCTTCCACTCAGGAAGTGAGTTGAACAGGTTCTAAGAACCAAAGGACACTCGAGTGCGTAGCATTCGGAACCCATTTGTTAGAAAGCATTCAGGGTCAGGATTGGTTTGAAGATTGAGAGAGTGGCGGATATCACAGCCACAGGGTGCATGTCTTAAAGCAAAGATGCAATGCTGGATGCGGACAATGTGTGTGTGTGAGTGCCCGCGTGTGTTTAAAGGGAGCATTCTTTGCCGGCCCTGCCAAACCATCTAACAAGGGGGTTCTTGAACGCATATCCAGTTCTCTGTTTTTTTAGCTCAGATGTGTGCCTTTGCTCTTGCCGACTGCGATTGTTTGGTAAGCCGCCTGCGCTAGCACCATTTTAAGAAACAACGTATTGTTGGATACTTGTTGGTTCTTGTTGGCGGATCCCTCCCAATGTGTGGACACCGCCCATTTTTGCTCCTCTTATGTGGCACAGCAAACTCGTGCCTCCAATGCTTTTCAGCCTTTTTCGTGAAGCATGTTACCCCTTGGGCCGTTGTTAAAGTACCGCGGACGTAAGGATGCCCACAGCGTAGAACATTGGTAGATGTTTTCTTGGTTTCCCTTTGGCAGCTACGAAAGCCTACCATGCCAGCTCCGCAAGCCTACCCTGGGCTCATGTTTGTGGATCTCGCTTACATAAAGGATCCCGCTTTGAGGGGTGCTGTGTGCATTGGCGCACCTGCACCCTCAGGAGAACTATCAGAATATGGTGATGTCCAAAAAGAAGCGGGGTCCGTACAGTGCAAGCATCTTGGCCAAGGTTGAGGTGCGGTGGCCCTGTTGAATGCAGGGGGGGGGGGGGGCATGACAAAAAGGATCATACAAGCACACGGTTTGCAGGACTAGTGGGTTTGCTTTAGAATTATCCTTCCTATGTGCTGTCAAGTCGAAAGTGTTCTTGGGAAAGCACGTTTTGTCAATGATGGCCCCCTTGCCATCAGTTCCCCAAAGCACGAGGTCAAGCACGTGCAACGTGCATTTTCTGGTCGCCTTTTTGTCGTTGCCATGAGTGAATCATCCATTTGTAGCTTGGGCAGCTGCTAGTTGGTTGGATCTCTGATCTATAACTTTCAGGGAGAATGTATGTGTTTGTTCTCTACTAGCCAAGGAAACAACTAAAGGTTTCTTGCACCAGGGGAAATGATGAACCACCAATTTTCTATCGGTGTGTTGCGTGATTTTACTTGATGCGGAGCAAAGCGCGCCGGGGTTGCCTTAGTATTGGCCAAGGTGACATCCGGGCAACGTATACCCAAGTCCTGCGTTTCCAGTACCTCCAGAAGGAGGCCGGCTCTTGTAGGACTTCATGCCGTCGTGACATGGGTCAGATACCGCCGCTTCTCTCACACCCAGGTCATGGCTTCATTTGAGGGGTCTGTTTGCTACCAAAGGCACCAAGACAGGCACTGAGGGGTTTGCTTTGTTGAATCCTCCTCAGGTTCCCAGTGTTGCGTGAGATTTGTTTGTGATGTATGCCATCGTTTGCGCAGTGTTTGTTTGCATTCTCGCAAGCAAGCAAGCGTGGGGGATGCCAAATCAAACGCGGCTGCAGGCTCTGTGCTCCATGTCGCTTCAGTATTTGCCGCACATGCCTGCAAACTGCGTATGCTTCGCAGCAAAAGTCCCTTTTCCGCTGTTCCTTCCAAACAATAAGCGGGCAGCACACCAGCGCCAGCTTGCTTGGAGGGAGGGTAGGTCGTTTATCATGTCCAAGGTGGCACGCTTCTGTTCCTGTCACCCCTTTCCAGCCCGGGCTGCGTTGGAACCCCTTGCCAGCCTTCCTGACCTGCCATGGAAGTTTCTGCGCGTGCTCCAGGTATCCACATTTTTCATGGTCCGCTGCAGCTGCCGGTGACTTCAAGGTTCACTACTTCACAGAGAGCGGTGGCAGTGACAGCAGCATCTCTTAAACTTGGCATTGTGGTCCGGTCCGCTCGACGGCGTGGGTCGGCAACGTCTCAGGGTGCAGTGGCGTTGCGGAGCACAGTGGGCAGGCGTCACTTGAAGGTGCTGGCCGAAAGCAGGCGCACGGACATGTTGCTCGGCACCCTCCAGGTTCTGGAGGACGAGTGGGTGGAACTGGATGCAAGAGATTTTACTGTGGCATTGTCGGTTTGTGGGAGGCTCAGCTCTTGGCAGGAGGCGTGTGCATTGCTTGAGGCCATGCCAGTCGCTCGGCTTCAGGCCAACGAGTTCGGGTTCAACGCCACCATCAGTGCGTGTGGGAGGGCCGCTCGTTGGCAGGAAGGGCTGGCGCTCTTCTCGGCCATGCCCGGCCTTCCATCGGCGCCGCGAGATGAGGTGAGCTGGAACGCCGCGATCAGTGCATGTGAGAAAGGGAACCGGTGGCAGGAAGCATTGGTCTTGTTTCAGGGTACGCGAGCGGAAAACCGGAGAGCAGATGAGATCAGTTTCAGTGCCTCCATAAGTGCCTGCAACAAGGGGGGCCACTGGTACATGGCAAATGCCTTGTTCTGGGCCATGCCGCAAGCCGAGGTTGAAGCGAATGAGATAAGCTTCAATGCAACCATCAGCGCATATTCAAAGGGGGGCCAATGGCAGCAAGCACTCGCCCTTTTTTGGGCCATGCCCCAAGTACACTTGGAAGCCGATGCAATCAGTTTGAATGCAACTCTTAGCGCGTGTGAGAAGAGTGGCCAGTGGCAACAGGCGTTGGCCCTGTTTGAGTCCATACCATCAACACGAACCAAAGCGGATGAAATCAGCTTCGGCGCAGCCATTGGTGCATGCGAAAAGGGTTGCCAGTGGCAGCAGGCATTGGCGCTTTTTCAGACCATGCCTGAGGCAAAGGTGCAATCAGATGGGATCAACTTCAGTGCAACCATGAGTGCGTGCTCAAAAGAAGGCCAGTGGCAGAAGTCGCTGGCCCTGTTTTGCGCCATGCTTGATGCGAACATCTCAGCTGATGAGGTCAGCTTCAGTGCAGCTATCAGCGCCTGCGAGAAAGCCGGTCAATGGCGGCAGGCGTTGACTTTGTTTCGCACAATGCCATTTGAACTTGTGCAGGCAGATGGCGTCAGCTTCAGCGCCACTATCAGTGCCTGTGAGAAAGCCGGCCAGTGGCAACGTGCACTGGCTTTGTTTTCCGAGATGCCCAAGGCGAAAGTGCAAGCCAACCTGATCATCTTCAATGCCACCATAAGTGCATGCGAGAAAGTTGGCCAATGGCAACATGCTTTCGCCCTGTTTCAATCCATGCGGACATCTCAGACGCCAGATGAGATCAGCTTCAGTGCCATGATGAGTGCTTTTGAAAAGAAGAGCCAGTGGCAAAGGGCCTTTGCCTTGTTCCAGGAGGCATCTCCTGACTCAGAGGTGGTTCTTTTGAGCCTTGTCATTGGTGCATGTGAGAAGGGCCAAGCAGTGTCACCATGCATTGGCCTCTTTGGACGATGCTCCACACAAGGCTGCAAGCAGCTTCGGTCTTTGGGCGAAAAAAGGCGGCGTTTTGGAGCAAGCCACGGAGGGTGTTGCTTTTCAACAGGGATATTTTTTTCAAAGCCACAGACAAGTACAGGAGCGGGTAGCCCTTTTCCTATGGCGCCGGGCAAGTACGGGCGATGCCTTCTTTTCAAACGATGGTCCTTTCCACGAAGCCTCATTTTTCTGGCAACCTTACCAAGGCCTTCTAAACTTTCTCAACGTGATGTTCAGTGCAACTTGTTTCAGTGCGATGCTTGGCGTAATTTGCTTTAGCTCTTAGAGATGCATGCATATTCCTGTTTGTTTGTTGGCCACCTTTAGAAAATGTCGACAACTTAGCTTTTGAATCGTATTCTCAGAAGCCCTTGAGGTACAGATCCTGTATTTGGATCCACCTGTGTGTCATTCCCAGGTTGTTGCGGCTTGGAAACCGGGCGGGCTATGTGGGGGTCTCCCAACCAGAAACAAATTGCTGGACGCGCCGGGAAAAAAAATAAAATGTTTCGGGTGCAAAGCCTAAAATCTCAGACCTCCAGGAGGTGCCTTTTCATTTTGTGTTTTAAGGGGACTATTTTAAATCTATCAACAAAACGGCGCCCTTTCCCACGAACTGTTTGTCTTTGCACCCACAAACTAGAAATGGTTGGGTGGTGTTCGGCAGAGTTGGGCGGCTAAGTCGGGCGCAGTTTTCCGCAACTTGAGCGCAATTCCAAAAAGTGTTCAAAGCCAAAGCTCTGCCCCGCATCCGTGTGTTTGCATGTGTTTGTGTTTGCCATTATTCGTGCACTTATTTGCCACGAAAGCTCACGCAAAGATTTGTGTATCAATGGGTCCTGCAAGTTGTATTCTTAGTTGGCCATCTTGGTAAGCATCAATGCCACCGTGTAAACTTGTGCAGAATTGTGAATGCGTAGGGTGCACCGTTCATTTTGGTGCATTCCTGCCGCAACTGCAATTCTAGGATGCATTGCTTTCCGTCGTGTTTCATGTTTTCCGTGCTGGGAGATGTTGGGGCGCACACAGTCCATCTTCGTAGGCTCCGGTCCAACATATACAAAATAGATGGCTTGAATATCCTCAGACTCAGAAGATGTCTTGACTCCGGCACCGGAGTCAAAAAGATGGCTGTCTTTGCAGCTTGCGCAGATTTGAATCTTGAATTAGTCCAACTTGCTGTTTGTCGACGCGGTCACCTGTTTCCTTAGTCAGAATCTGATTAAAAAACAAAAAACACAACTTCCTTCTGGTTCGCACCAGGTTCTGGACTTGATTGAGGTTCGGATGGAAGGACTGTCATGCTGACCCCTGCTGAATAAACCCACTTATTAAGGGGAGCCCCCTGTCTCGTGGGGATCCTTTCGTCCAGGGGACCCCTTGGTATTAAGTGGGGGGTTGACGAATCAGGGGTCAGCATCTTGATTGCTATTGGGTTGGATCTTTAGACTTTAACTTTTTGGAAAGTCAAGGGGTTGTCCACTAAACTTCCCCCCAACAACTTTTTGCAGGGGGGTCAACAGCAACCAAGGCATTAGCCCTTTGGTCAAGCACCGTGTCTTATGTCCATGTGGCTGTGGGTCAAAACCAATGGTACCATTTTTGCGTAGGTGCACCACCCATTTTAGTCGATTTTAGTGGGGATTGGGATGTTCATTGGGGGTACGGGATTCTGACCCATGGCCATTTCCTTCGAAGCCCTCAGGTGGATTTGGAGATCGAGCGACGGGATGCCCGCAAGGAGAAGCAGGCGCAGCGCACGCAGCGCACGCCCAGGTTGGTGGCATGGCTGGCTTCGAGCTTCTAAACCATTAAGACGCAAGGGCTTCCGTTGTTTTCCTTTGCTTTCCATGTGGAAATAAGATGAGCTTGTTTTTCTTAGCTTCCCTTTATTAGGAGCCGGGAGTTCTACCTTTGTGCAAGGCGCCCCACTGTGCACCTTGTTTACCATATGCATATGAATCCCCCCTCAGCTTATTCGCAGTAATTCTGTGGTTGGAATTCGTGTTTACAGTTCGTTGCATGTCAGTGTGCTTGCTAGCTCTTTGTTCGCTTCACCTCGGGAGTGTGCCCCAGCGCTGTGTTTTCCATGTGGAACATGGGGTGTTTTGCCTTATCTCGGAGTGGACAAAGCCTGCGATGCTAGTCTGACATGTTCTTTTGGAAACAATATCACAAGCCAGAGAAATCAGGAACCAAACAAACATATAGCCCCCGCACCCGAGTGGCCAAGAAGGGAAAGTACCAGCTCGCTGACTAACGACTGGCATGTTCGAAAGGCTGTGCAGACCCTGCGCTTCACAGGTGGCTCGCTGATTTACGACTGGCATGTTCGAAAGGCTGTGCAGACTGAGCGCTTCACAGGTGAATCCTTCTGCTGTTTCCAATTGAGGCCACCCTTGAACCTGCTAATGGTTGAGGATAACATTTGAATCAGCAGTTGATTGTCCGGATGTTCTTCGTGACGAGCTCATTGCGCTGGGGTGTTTAGAGTTGCTGAACTTTGCAGTGTATAGGTGAATGGTTTCAGCTTTTAAGGCAAGGCAAACCAACTATGATTGTTTAGGCCCCCTTTCGATGCGCATGTGGCGAAGCATTTTCCTCAGGTTCAAGCAATCGTTCGGTGAATTCTGCAAGGGTCCCATGGTGTGGATCAGATCCTGTACCAGTGGTGGGTTGGCTAAGGTGAGCACAGGTTGCGGAAACCGGCAAAGTCACAGCGGCTTGGTCGCTAGACCCCTCCAGGTTGATGGTTTTCATCGCAACAGCCTGGAACTGCTTTGCAAGTCTACTGATCCGGTTGGCAGTGTCTGAACACAGGCTTGGGAATGCCAAGTCGAACAGTTTTGGGGGTATGCAATGATAGGCGAAACGTCGCCCCCAAGGCCACGTGCTCGAGGCGAGCGGTTTGTAGAGAGTTGCCCCAAGCTAAAAGAAGAAAAGGATAGAACATGGTTTGGTGTTGGGCTTTTCTTCGACCAAGCCTCTACCCTTTCGCCGGAATCTTTCGAGCAACTCATTGTTTGCACTTTGACGTGCCCCAGTTTTGATCTCGGCAGGCGGAGCAGAAGGCAATGAAGAGACTTGGCTGGTGTTAGATTGTCTGATTGAGCAAAGACGCGCCGATTCTGCCGATTTGCTGCCTGGCATAACAAGCTCATAGCGAAAGTCCTTTACGGGATCCCTTGTTTCAGAAGTTTGCAAATATGGAGTTTGCAGCTTTGGTTTTGGCAGCTGAGGCATTTCCCCCAACACGCACGGAAATGCACAGCACTCCTTCCCCTGTGTATTTCCCAAACTTTAGAAGATTTGAGCGAAGCCATCGGTTCAAACCCCAAACCCCTTTTGGCCCTTGCGCCGATTGTTGTGAATGCGGGCTGGCATTTCGGGACACACGTCGTGTTTCGAGTGTGATCAGTCGGGTGTTCTCCGTTTCGGTGCTTGACTTGCCAGCAAGTTGTGAAGCACGTCCAGTGCTTTTACAGAGTTTTGAGTCGTGTTATGTCTCTGGGTCGGGCTGTCCGACTCGGTACCACAAACAAGTGGCGCACATATTTTCCGGCTTGGTCCCAATCCTTCGCCTCTGTTTGGCACCTAAAGGGGGCTTCCCTTCTTGGAATCCAGGAACTAGGCGTGATATTTGGGAAACCTGGTCCCTGGAAATCCTTCAGAGCGTTCTAGTGTTCTCCCATATATGCTTTTCAGCATTCATGTTTCTCGAACTAGATGTTTTTCTGAAAATGGGGGAGCCCCAAAGAATGGTGGGGCTGCCTTTGCCCTTACAACCATGAAGGGAGTCCCGGTTTCTCAGACCACACGCAAACAGAGCCAAACTCAACTCCCCCTCCGTTCCCCGGCATTTGCCGGCCCAAGGACGCTGCCCCCGACTTCACCCCAAAAAGCCTCAACAGCGGGCTTAGCAGTTTCGACCTCCTGGTTTCGTTTCAGACTTCCACTTGTCATGGCCTATGGTTCCTTCGGGGTTCATGCCCTCGCTGACAGCAACGTCGGGTCTCCGAAGTGTTCGCAAGGCGCGCGCAAGCGGAGGAAGCCCAGCGCGCCCGGCGCGCCGCGCTGATGGCAGCGGATGATGGCTTCGAAGGTGGCCGGGCCAAGCGTTTGATAGTGGGTGGATGCAGGAACTCTACTAAAAATGCTCAACCTCCAAGAAGGGTTGGCTTCTGCCAGGGTCACTCTTGGCATATTTTTGGGCAGTTTGGATATGTGCAAGCTATCCCTTGCAGCTTTGGTCCGTTTTTGCCCCAGCTGGTGCCCCAATCGAAGCCGACCCTCCGGTATCGAGGGCCCTCCCATATTTTTGTTTGTTCGATCCAACTGAAAGTGAGGAAGTTTTTAAGGGGATGGCTTGGGGATTATACTTTCACCGCGTTCAAAGCATCCCTTTGGACACGCCACCCCTCCCAGTTAACTGCTTCAATATTGGGGAGGGGGTACGCCCAAGCAATGTTTGATTTATTAAGTGCTGGGAGCTGGGCACGTCAAGCCTCAAGATAAGCAAAGCGTACCCCCACACCACTCCCATACCACTGTCCCTGCGCTCTTGTAACTGCTGTAGTGGATCAAAACACGTTATGTTTTGTTGGCACGTGTCGAAATTTTGGAAATGCCACGTTACGGCCTCGTCTGACAAGCAACAACAAGGCATGGACATATTTCCTTGGGACAAAGTAACCTCAGAAAACCAACACAACTAGTTGTTCAGTTGGACGGCGGCCGACTGAACAACTAACAGCCGGGCTGCACAACAAGATGCCGACGGGAAGCCCAGTGGCTCAGTCCGACTGTGAGTTGTTCAGTTGGACGCCGGCCAATTGAACAACTAAAGTTCTATAATCAGAAGAAGCAACTCGCGGAAGCAAGCCCGTGCAAATGCTGCACGGGTTGCACTTTGTGTGAGGCAAAATGCTTGCCAAGCAGAATCGCCAAACGACCCAAAAGGAAGAAGCCCATGAGCACAATCACAGACACCACATTGTGGAAATCACACGCTTGACAATTGTCCACCCAGCAAAGCAACTCTAGTACATCGCTTAACTTAGAGACGTGCCCCCGCAAAGAATGTTAACATATTTGGGTCTGAGGGGGCGGCGCCCCCCCTCCCACTTAACCCGGGGCTATGACACGCCGAGTAAGCCCGGGCCCACGGCCCACGGGCAGCGATGCGCCTGGCGTGATATACTTCCATGAAACCGCCTTGCAACCAAGGCCCCCAGAAATGTATTCTTGAAAAGGCTCGCTTTGCCCTCAGTCCTGTTATCACTTCAGAATCTTGAGTGGAAACCCTCACCTTTGACTGCTCAAGTTTCACGCTTGCAGCTGAGTCGTTGGCCAGGTGCTCCAGGTGTAGCGCTTCCACCGGAGGCCAACTATGGCTATGGCGGCAGCCTGGCCGAAGCGGAAGGCAAGGCTCCCTGTTCCCTCTTTTCAGCTTAAGCATCACCTGGTTGAGGGGGATGCGTCCGGGGAAAGGTAGGGAGCCCTCAAAGGACCGAACCTCAAGGGAAGAGATGGCTTTGGATTGCCTTGGTGTCAGTGAATCAGGGGCCAAATGTCTGCCTTTGTGACGGGGATGTGGGAGTAATCCTGCAGAGGCTTGGTGAAACAGGTGTGCTTTGAGTTTGTTGACCAGCTGATTCTACGCTTTGCTGGTCGTAGTCTTTGCTTTTCACCGTCCGTCTCTGAGACGGTGAACACTACCCTAATATACCCTAATCAGGTAACCCTGAATTGGTGGTTTGGATTGGTGGTTGGCGACTTTAGCCCGCAGTTCTTGTAAAGGGTAGAAGGGAAACCACCCCCTTAACTACCAAACCGCAAATCCAAACCACAAATTAGAGGGAAGCTGACACAAGACAGGCAACTCAAAATGCCTTTTGGGCTTCGCAACCTAAGCCCGTGGGTTTTGGTCTGGATGCCTATGCAAAATGAGCCTGCTCGGCATTAACCTTGGTAGTCACGCTTCCAAACAAGTTGTTCTTGTTCAACTGTTTGATGTTACCATGCATAAATGAAGCACACCGCACGCAAGCTGCAGTCAAATCTTGCCGTGCTCTAGCTCCGAAGGACGCAGCACATGTCATGCAGCTTAGATTTGGATCTGGATCGAAATGGAGGCCTTGTCCGACTCGCCTTTCTCTTGTGGAAAATTGGCTCGTGCAACTGGGTGATCAGCCAATCCTTCTTGCCAATGTAAAACTCACTGGCACAGAAAAGTTGAAACCGCGGGATCCGGCATGACGAATGGTACAAGCAAACACGGTTAGGATTGGAGATGGTGACAATGGTGATCATGACATTGAGCATGATGAGGAGGAGGAGGAGGAGGAGGAGGAGGCAACAATAATAATAATAACAATAAGAAGAAGAAGAAGAAGAAGACATCGAAGAGAAAAACAAGAATAAAAGAAGATGGTGATGCAGGTGATGCTGACGGTGATGATGATGGTGATGATGATGGTGACGGTGATGGTATGAAAGAAAGAATGATGATGCCCACCCTCAGCATCAGCATCATCATCAGCAGCAGCAGGAGCATGCACCCGTTAGGATCTATCAGATGGTGGGTAGTGGGTAGCCACAGGCAACATGCTCGAAGGGCAGCATGTCAGTGATATTTGCCCACCATTAAGTATAGCATATCACCAACAATGAATCATTCATAGGCTCTCAGGCACAGATCCAGGCTGGCTTTTTCCATTGTGAGCTTCTGGCTGCCCCAATTTCGCTGAGGTGGGTCGCAGTTTCAGGATTTTCACTCCATGGGCACTGGGAGCAGTGCAAGGAGCACCTGAGCTGAAGATGGCCAAGGGGGAGGGGCGGCATCCACCTCTCAACCCAAGAATGCTTGCGATGGGTATGAAATTGAATTCGGGACCCTTTGGTGGGCATCATTTAGGTGGGGATTTATGTCCACCAATCACTTTCAGGGGGTTCTCTATTAAATTTCAGCCATATTGGGTTGAGCACGGTATGAGGTTGTTGTTTGAAGCGAGAAAGCATGGGTCATGGGGAACAAGGAAGGTACTTGGGCATCCAGCTTTGTAGTCACTGGCTTTTCATTTGAGGCATGGCCTTGTTATTTGCAAAGGACAAGTGCTTGCCAACATATGGCTTCCATACTGATTTGCAGCCACGTTTGAGAACAACAACACAAAACAACTGAATCTTGTTACCCGTGCCAGCCGCGCTTGCATGCATTGGGCGCTGGCAGGCCAGTCCGCGCACATGAGGGTCCAAATGATTTTCAGCGCTTTCCGCCCGTGATCATGACCAAGCTTGGCTTCGAAGTGTTTCGAAGCCCCACACGCTTTCAACTCATTTAGGCTCTCACAGTAGCGACTTGGATGTTCATGTGTTTACAAGCTGTTGGACATGCGCCTCTGTTGCAAAGCGGGGCTTTGCGACTTTGGGGCGTGGGATGGCTCTATCCATATTCGCGTAACGTGGACATCCGCAGGTGCACGTCTAGTGTCCAGCTTTGATCGTGAAACCCGAAGCCACGGCATAGCTTTGTGCCAGTGTCTCGTAGGTTTTTGTCACCACGGGGACTCAGGACCCGGCACCGTTGCGTACGCGACCGAGGTGTGACTGGCAGCCGCTCCCCGGGTCGCACGGCTGGCAGGGACCTCGCAGGGTACGGGCCAAGGTCCATGGGGCCACAAACGCGACGAGAGAATTGGTGGCTCGAATTTTGTTGCGGAGGTTGGATCCAATCTGTGGTCTCCGAAACGATTTTGAATGTTAGGGTACTGTTGAGTGCTAAATACGAAAGATCCTCGGAATATTTTTATTTTTTTTCCGGCTCCAGATGTGGGCCAAGTAATTCACCCGCACTAAGCGGAAACAACACATGCTGCTGGATTGCAGGCCTGTTCGTGCAGGATCCACGGCTTTTGCGCTGGGCCGTGCCCAAGCTATACATGAGCATCGGTTTTTAATCAAATGCAATGAAACTGCATGCGGTTTGCAGAGCCAATCCTGAATCCTAGTTGGGGGCGTAGGCTCGCGTAAGCTTTTCTGGGTTAGCTTGTTTTCACTTCTTTCGACTTTCGCTTCTACAATCTATTCGCGTAGGCTTTGGAGGCATTGTGCGAAGGTCAGATCCTTGGGCAGTGGGGTTCTAACAAATCAAAATCTTTGCGTACTGAAAGCTTACGATTCTCGAGGAGCTGCCAACGCGTACTTTGCGCACTCTTGAACTCAACTTCTTCGCTCCGCTTTTCTCCCCGGTTTTCTCTGCTTTTCTGCTCTGCTTTTTTGCCCCTTGCTTCTCTCCCTCCGCGGTCTTCGCGCCGCTCTTTTTTGCCCTCTTTTTCCCAGCTCTTCGCTCATCTCTTCTCCCAGATCTTGCCCAGTCTTCGCTTCCCTCCTCTCCCGGTCAGTCGCTTCACCTTTTGCTGCTCCTCCTTTTTTTTGCGCTTGGTTCCCCGCTCGTAAAACTTGATGCGCTCTGTATTGCACGCAGCCGTGTGTTATGCGCATTGATTCTTCAAGTCGCTGTTCCTGCCCTGTCAACCCCTAAAGTCTATCTATGTTTGCCTCCCCTGGCCTCAATCGTTTGGCTTTTCCAGGGTGTATTTACTATTAACGGCGACCCTCATGACTTGACCTCTTTTCCAGGTCCTTAGGTCCTTGAGCCCACAAGGGAATTGGCGGTTGATAATGTATCTAAGGCTTTGATCTTGAAGCCATCCCTTGGATTCCAAAAGTTTCCAAAGCCATGCCAGGGTTTCTGGCCCTGTTTGAAACCCCAGATTCAGGCGTGAAGGGGAAACACCATGTTTTGCTTCCCCCATACCCTGAAGATCTGAAGATACGCCCTTTTATGCACTCCACGCGGGCCGCAAGTGAAACACCTCACTTGCCCGAGCGGACCTTTTGAACTTTCAGGTTGTCTATTTGCAGAAATGGTCCAAAAAGGTTAAGCTTTGTTTCTGGTTCTTGCAACTGAGACACTCGAGATTGTTGATATCTCGGCGCTTGCACCTTCGTCTCCCTTACTGACATTCATACTTTCTTCAAGGTGTCACTTTCCAATGGAGCTTCGAATGATGCCTTGTTTGATCTAAGGGTGGCTTAAAGGGCATGCGCTTTTGAGTTCTTTTGCAAGCGTTTGGGAAGGTGCACCCCGAGTCCCTGAAATTAAACTTTTGAGGAAGACCTTTCTGGTGGCCAGTCCACTCAGGAAGTGAGTTGCCGGGTTCTCCGGAGAAAGCTGTCCACCCCAAAAACGCATCCCTTTTTCTACCAGCACAACTGGGATTTGCAGGTCTGCACGGGGGATCAGCCTGATAGCGTATCGCACGGCCTGACTGCCAGCTGTAGACTCTTAAGCGATACATTGGGAACCCCTCACCCCCCCCAAAGGATTCTCAGCTTCTAGGACGATTCCAAAGAAATGGTGCATTCAAGTCGCCGATGCTTTGATCCCAGCGGCGAAAAGTGCCAAGGGCTTTTTGCTGTTCATGGGCTCTTCAGCCAAGGCAGATCTGTGGCGAGCACAGACTCAATGGGTCAGAGCAGCTTTTTCGGAGGCCTGGAATTCCGCTCGAGCTTTGACATGTGACAGGCCTCGCTTGGGTTCTCGTCATTCCCACCAGCCCCACCTGAAGATTAACTTCGGATAGGTCCGGACCATGCCAATCAGCATTTCCCCCTTTCCGCGGGGAATGAATACATTTCGGGGGTTCTTGTGATTAGTGTGGTCCTCCAGATCAATCGGAAGTTTGCATTAGAGTCGCTCGTGGTTTTTGGCTTGCACCATTGCCCAGGCAGGCACCAGGGTTTCTTGCTTGCTACAAGGCGCATGCATGGGGCAACGCAAAGGAGGCAGCTGCTTGACCAATTCAACCTGACAATGCAGCATTTCAATCAGCGAAAGCCATGTGTTTTGTCCCTTATTGGCCTCCACGTTCTCACGGTGTGAAAGGTGGCTTCCCCTATCATTGGCTTCTTTGATTAGTCCGATGCCTCAGGATATCCAGCGACTCCCATCGCAAAACTAATAGTTAAAATTTGCATTCGCAAGCCGTAAGACTCCCGGCTGGCATGGGGAGAGGGCAAGCCGGAGTGGCTATTGCATCAGGCACCCGAACTAGAGCTTATCCGGACCGAGGCGCCTGTCACGCGAAAAAAAGTACCGGTATTTGACACAGCCGCAAATCAATTCCATGTTTCGGGCTTGGCGTGGAGGGGCGGCTGGCGCTTGAAGGTGCCTTTCACGGGTGTTGGGCGATTGAACCTGGCGAGAGAAGATTCTGGGGCATTCCTTGGAGGTGCTCCAGTTCGGGGATGAGAATCCCCAGGAAAACCCGAATAAACCAATCATTTTCTGAAAGATTTGAGATCTGTGCACAGCCACCCAGCCTTCACATGCAAACAAAGCTTGGCTTTTCCTTGACCCCACGCCCTTTTTTCAGGGTCGGGGTTAGTGTCAGGCGCCAGCTCCTCCAGTATGGGGATGGGTCAGGGCTCAGGCGCCGGAGGGGTGCGATCGCCGATCAAAGCCTTCCTGGGAACGCGATGGAGTCCCTGTACTTCTGCTGCGCAAACACATCGCCTTTCTGTTTGTTGAGTCCAGTCGCAGGTATGCTCTTTTCGGGCTGGACAGAGTAGACCCTCGGCATGCTGGTTAGACTCGCAAAGATGCATTCCCGTAAGAGAGCCATCTTCTTGCGGGGCTTGAAGACTTCCTTGATTTGCAATTCCGGGTGGCGGCATGCTGTGACACTTTGTGAATTTGACAGAGGTGCAATACAAGCTGAACAATGCTGCTCCCGGCAAAGGTCCTTTTTTGCAGACGGCCATGTCGGCAACCGTTGAGTCTTGGGGTTTGGTTCGGCGTTTGTGCGAATGGGACTAGGTAAAAAGGGTACTGCATGTTTTGGATTACCAAGGGTTCAGTGTCACTCAGGTAGCACATTGTGCTTCAGTTGATTATCAGTTGATTTCAGCTTCAATGTTTCGTTCGACGTTCAAGCCATGGTCGAAGAAGTCCCTGCGAGAAAGGCCTGCCGACTAATTTTCGCGAACCTTTTCTCAGGCTCCGTGTGTAAGTATACCTTAGAGGAGGTTGCGCCTTGGAGATGGCCCAGTCAAATAGAGGTCCTTGATTCCAATGAAGGCCCAAGCTCCCAGGGCAATGCTGGGCAGTCCCCCCCCCCACTTCAAGGCGCATGGTACTTAGTAAGTGGGTAATAACCACGGCTACAACCCACTTACCATGGTTATAACAAGTCTCCTGAGTGGGTTACCACCAGGCTTACTAAGCACTTACCTGACGTACCGAATCGATCGCCCCTTCAAGAACACTGGGAAGGTGTCTTTGCGACAGGTTTCTTTGGCGGAGCCGGGGCCAGCGATTCCGCGAGCAGCGGTGGCTCTGTGGCCCGGCGAAAAGGGACATGCATAATCCCTTCTCCCCCATGCTAAAGGTCCCCCGAATACTAAAACCGACTTTTGAGAATCCCAAATCCGGGAATACTACTTTTAGAATAGCCAATACTAAACCAATTCCAAAGTAGGCGTTTAGCATTCGGGGGAAGAGATAATTTTGGGGTCGGGCGAGCCCTTGCCCCAAAGAGGGGTAGTTTTGGTTGGACTACGTTGCACTCATGCGCACATGATAGGGGGGAGGTCATACTGTGGATGAACCAAATCCATTTCGCACCACCTAAGAAACGCTGAAATGATGACCCCCCCCTGTAAATACCAAGCAACAATGGTTTTCCATTGATTTCAAAGCGGTGCGAACGGACTTCGCGGCCAATTGGGGGGGTTGGCCTTCGGCTTGCCAACGCATTTAGTTTTGCAGCTCTTGGTTTTGTATTGCCACCTGCTCTCAGGTTTCCTGTGCTCAATTTAGGAAAAAGCCAGATGTAGCCCCGGATCTCAGAGAAACCAGCCTTTAAAAGTACTCACTAAGGCTTGGTTGTTGAAATTTCACGCAACCGACAAAAGAGCTTGACATTAAAGCGGGCCCCAAAAGAGTCAGATCAAAGCGGATCTGTAGCTCTTGTGGGGCGTTCTCTTTGTGTGGCTGCGTGGCCTTGCCTGTGTCTTTATAAAAGAAAGTCAATGGGGGAACACACCAAAAACATAATGTCGGAGGCCTTTGACGGGAAAGGATGAGATCATAGGTGTCCTTTTTAGTCTGCGCTTTCATATTAATACAGGGCACTGCTTTTTGAAGGCTGCCTTGAGTTTAATGGAACAGCAGTGCCCGCTGCAGCTGCCTTTTTGCTTCTAAAGTGGTTCAGATTCGGGTCCCGTCCCGGGTTCATTCCGCGTCGCCGGGTGGTCCCGAATCCGGGTCCCCAATAGGATCTGGGTCCCGTCCCGGGCCGGGTCCCGGATTCATTCCGGGTGGCCCGAATCCCAGATCCGGGTCCCGGATCTTTCCCGTCCCGGGCCGGGTCCCGGATTCATTCTGGGTGGCCCAAATCCGGGTCCCGGAGGGTCCCGTCCCGGCCCCGGCATCTACACTGGCTGGCAGAAGCATTGCAGGTTGCCTACTTGCGGTCACTGCGCCATGATACGGGGTGCGCAAGGAGAACTTGCAAGCCAGAGATCTCCGAACCGCAGCGGTTCTTGCCCGCCTTGCCTCATTGCGCGGCCCATAACGTTTGCAGAACCACAACAAATTGTTGCGGTTCGCTTTTGTGCCTCGCGCTGCACATTTCGATGAGAGCACCCCTTGCTGCGGCCCGTGGTTTCCTCCAAGCTGGCCGGGCCAGCTGCAACAACCTGCGGCCAGATGTAGTTCGACTGCCTTCGCAGTTCGCTGTATGCCTCGACCAAGGTATTCGCTTTACTCTCTTGCCATCTCCATGGCCATAAAAGAACCACAACAAATTGTGTCGGTTCGCTTGTAGCAGTGTACGTGGTCATTGTGTTAAGAGGTTGGATTTGCATGTGTTCCGCGTAAAGCAGTTGGGGGGTGCGCAGCCGCTGGGCGGCCCTGCCAATGGTTGGCTTGCCGTGGCTTGCCTCAGCTCAAACCCGCGCCTGGGCCAGTTTGGGCCGCTTGCTCTGGTTGCGACTGACCACGCTCAGTGGAAGGACATGGTTGAAAACAGGGCGGGGTCGCGCTGCGTGTGCTGGAAGCTGCAATTGAAGCTGCCCAGGCCAACGCCGAAACCAAACACCTGTGTGAATCAGCCTGACCTCCAAGAACAAAAAGAAGTGTACGGGCCAAGCAGCTCAAATGCTGTCAGGTAAAAGCCACCGAGCAAAAGGAAGGCTAAGGCAAAAGGAGCCCCGCAGAGCCCGCAAGAAGCGCACCGGCTGCAAGATGCTGAGATGCACAACCCAAGTCTTGGGTTGAGAAGCAATCTCGAAACATAGGCTCACGGATTGACCCGGCTTCAACTGGATGTTCCAACCAGCCACGTCTAGCAGTCTTGTGTGAGCACTTGGCGAGAGCCCCTGTTCATGAAAAAGCACCCCACACTACACCAGTGCCATCAATTTCCCTTTTCTCTTACAAAAAGGCCACCTATGGATGAGATGATCTGGCATTTGTGTTTATCTTCTGCCCGGATTTCTCCGGCCAAAAAACACTTTCTATTGGAGCCACCCTCGAAGCAGTCACATAATTCAGAATTAAGAGAGCAAACTTGATAAAAGCATGATAAAAGCGACGCCCAAACAAGTAACATCATAAAGAGGCGTTGCTTGTTTGAAATCCAGCCACTCATATGGCATATGGGTTGAAGTTGTTGTTTGGCAGTATAGAAGCTTGCTTTGAAAGGAGGGGGTCCGCTTAGGGAAAAACATGTCAAGTGAAAGGCTATGGAAACAGAGATTCTAGTTTGGCCCCCGCCCTGGAGAGAGCATCAAAGGCCCCTTGAGGAGGAGGGCTTCTGGACAAGGGTCCGAGTTGCCTCTTCAGTGGGGGGCCAGCTGCGCGATGTCATTGCAATCATGAAGGATGCGCAGTTCTGCAAGTGGGTGGTGATCATTTGCAAACCTGGTTCCCTAGTCAGTTGCCGAGGCCGTACCACAGGTTCCAGTCGAGGCTAAAGTAAAGTTGATGTGGGTATGACCGGAAGTACAGGCCAGGCAAAGGCGAAGCAGGCAGGGTCCATTGCCACATACACAAAGCAACAAACCTTCAAACAGCAACGGACATGTGAGTTTCCTTTTGCAAGGGCCCATGGCCCATGGGGTCCCTTTTGTCGACGTTGGCACATTCCTGCATATAGACAATGATGTGACCCTGGATCCAGGCGCCAGGCCAATGGAGACACACGTTCAAAACTGCAACGTAACGTTCCCGCGTTCCGGGGTCCTGCCGTGGAAACAGGAGCTTGGCATTCTGATATCTCAGAACTGGTGCTTTTCTCTTTTTGGGAGATGTTCTTCTCAAACAATTCAGCAATTTCACAGTGCCGGACCCCATGAACGCGTAACCCCTATCGCGTTCTAACCCCTATCGCGTTCGGACGCGATCGGTGCCTTCCCTATGGTGCCCGAAGCTACTTGAGGCGCTCTTTACCCAGTGTTTTCAGTGCAGGATGTCCGCAGTTGCCAGTATGCAGCCCGAGGCACCCATGAACCCCATGATGATGATGGCGCAGATGATGCTCGAGACCCAAAAGAAGCTCAAAGAGGCGCAGGAGAAGCTGCAGAAGGTACAGGAGCACGGCGGCACGGCTGTGAGCTTGGAGGCGACCCTTTTTTCGGGGACGCGTTTCAGTTGAAGCCAAAGGGAAACCAAGACTTGGGGCGGGGGCTATGAACGCCTTGCGGAAGCGAGCACATGGGTGCGGAACGGCTGAGGGGTGGGAACATCAGGCTGCTTTACTCGCACAGTTCCCTTGCTCGAGATAAGCTTCGCTCGAACGAAGCGGATCGCCCAATGCGAATGAGCGACATATAGAGAACCCAATGCCAGTTGCAGTGAAAACGCTTGATGTTGAGCCTTTTTCTCCATGGCCTGCTTTGAGACTGTCCAAACAAAAAGCCCCTGTGCCAGCCTGACCTGAAAGGACGGAAAGTGACAAGCGCTGCTGTGTGGACAATGGTGCTGTTTCTGAGCCATCCAATGTACAGATCCCATGCACCAATGTATGCAATACGCACCCCGCCAGATGGATGAACGTGATCCCGGCTTCGAAGATTAGCTCACCGCTCTTTTCGAGGAAAGAAAAGATGCGTTTTTGACTATTGCCGGGAGGAGGGACATAATAATGCATGTTTACTATGTCCCACTTCCCGGAAACAAAACAAACACGTGGTGTTGCAAAAGGTGAGTTGTCAACATTGGTCCCTTTTCGAACGCATTTCAAGCTGCACCCTTTGCTTTTTTGTTCGTCCTGCGTCCATGCGTCCAGCGAATATCAATTGTGGTGTTTGCTTTGTTTCCAATGGCAGACTTCTAGTGAACATATTTGCAGCTTCAACAAATGTGTCGTCAATCGTCTTCGGGCTAGGCCTGAGGAGCTTTCCATCCTGGAGCAGTGGGTCATCGCCTCAGTGCCAGGCTCAAAACCGTGCGAGGAGCTCGGCCCATGACAGCTCCGGGCCGAAGTTGGAAAATGGCCGCCGCCTGTATTAATCTACCACATTTGCCACCTGGTTCCACCTGTCAAAGTTGACACCAACTTTTTGTTTCAATTCTACCACGTTTGCCCAAATAATTTTTCCCTGTTGTGCTAGGAGGACAGATCCCTTTGGTAGCCTCGTACATGGGGTGATGCCTTGGTTCTAACCCCAGGGCTATAAGTCTCCTAAGTGGGTTATAACCAGGCTTACTGACTACTTGCTAAGTACAACGCCGCTTTAAGTAGTAAGCTGAACAGCAATCCCCCCCCCCCCCCGACCTCCTCAGTTTTGCTCTTCCCGGCACTCAGTTTTCCAACTTTCAATTGCTCTATCTATTGATTTTTGCCTAAAGGGATGTATGCCTTTGAGGGAATGCCAGGATTTCCGGTTCGCTACTTGACAAAAATTCAGTATTTCGGTTTAATTGTCTTTAGTATTGCCAAAGAAATGTGTGCCCTTTTCGAGAATTACAGGGTCGTGTGTTTCCAAACAATTCAAATCACACTAGCTGCTCAAATTGAACTAGCGAATTAGGGATTTCTACTAATTTGCAAACATATGGCCCTATAGGTTTCTAAGTTGTCTGAATCATTCTCAACGGGATGGGTGTCTTTTGGGTGACTCCACCTTCATGTTTCCCGAATCATGTCAAACAAATCTAACTGTTCAATTGCCCTATGTATTTGCAAAGGGATGGGTGCCCTTTTTGGAATTCCAGATTCCTTGTTGCTTCCACTTCGGACAACTATATTTCCTACATGTTCTGAATATGGTATTTGTCCAGAATGGCTTACTTTGTCTCTTGCTGGAAAAGGAATTCCAGAAGCATTTTTCAAGATGTTCAACTGTTTATATCTAGTGATGTTTCTCCAGCTTATTGAAACAATTAAAATTAATTAGCACAAATCCATGGAACATATCTTGTCTACCTATTGTTCTGGTTCATTGGAAAGCTAGAAGAAAAGAACAATTAGTGTTCAATAGCATCGTCCTGTTTGGTCCCAATTATTCTAATCCCAAAGGGACGGGTGCCTTTTGGGGGAATTCCAGGTACAGGCCCTATTGTTCTGATTCTTTAGCATAAGTAGAAAAGCATTTTAACAATTCTGAAAGGGCGCCTCTTTAGAGAACTCCAGCTTCATTTTGTTTCTCCAAGTTTCCATGTATCATATTTCTATTTTTGTTGAGACTGATCACATGATGCCAGTGTGCTGCTAGCAATTCCCAAAGGGGCGGGTGCCTCTTGAAAAGGGTTCCAGCTTTATATTCTAATGTTTCTTATTACGCTACACGTGATTTTCCACGAAAAGGACGGGCGCCGCATGTGGAATCTGAAAGTCATTTTTCAATTTATTCAAAACAACCTAATTATTCCAAAACATAGTAGATGGCGTAACTATAGATTTATAATTGTTCTACTTAGTGTTCTGAGTGCTCCAAAAAGGTGTGGGGGCCTTTTTTTCCAGACTCATTCTTCTATTTGCTCTGACTATTCTATCTAAGTTTTCCCTTCTTTTTTTAAAGAGATTGGCTCCGAATGGAGGATTCCAGATTCAGTAGTTCTAAGAAGCGAACATGTAGCCAGCACTGCTTATTGATTCGCATTATTCCTACAGGGGCGAGTGCCGCTTAGGAAACTCTAGGTAAGTAACTCTCATGAAGCTGTTGGAATGATTTGGCATGGCTTGGGGCCACACCTGGGGTTAGTGAATTATTGCAATATTTGGGAGTGCCGGATTTTGCAACTAATGGAATTATTGAAATTCAATTCCAATACTTGCAAGAATTGCGCGAATTGGGGGGTCCCGGATTTTTCAGTTCCAACAGTTGCAAAATTGCAATATGTTGTGGTCCTGGATTTTGCAATTACTGCAAGTATTGCAACTATATATATATACATATGTATATATATTTGGCCTGTCTTGGGGCCAAATCTGGGGTTAATTAGTGTTTCGCAATTATGGCCATTATCGAATTTGTTTTCGAACCGAATACTTGCAATAATTGCAATGTATGGGGTCCCGGATTTTGCAACTATTGGAATTGACATCCGGTAATTGCAAAATTAACCCCGGAGTTTTGCAATGATTATATTTTTTGGAATTGAGTTCTTTCAATTGTTTGGAATTATTTGGCCTGGCTTGGGGCCAAATCTGGGATTCGTTGGTTATTGCAATCATTGCAATTGAATTTCAATAGTTGCAATAGTTGTGGGTTCCGGATTTTGCAATAGTTTTACTTGGCCTGGCTGGGGGCCAAATCTGTGGTAACATTGTTGCAAGTATTGCAATAAGTGTAATTGTCGGGATTTAACTCCAATAATTGCAATATCTGGGGGGGGGGTCCCGATTTTTTAAGTATTGCAATTATTGGAACTATTGGACCCCTAGTTAGTGCAATTATTTCTCTCGGGTTTGCACAAGCCAGGCCACATGAGTCCAATATTTGGAAAGTCCGGGTCCCGGAATTATTGCAATTGTTGGAACTCAAGTCCAACAATTGCAAGAAATGCAAAATCCGGGTCCTTCAAGTGTTGCAGTTACTGCAACTATTAGACTTGAATTCCAACAGTTGCAAAGTGTAAAATCCGGGACCCTCAATTATTGCAAGTATTGCTGTTAGTGGCATTCAATTCCAATAATTGCAATGACTGCAATGATTGCAATAGTGAACTAACCCCAGATTTGGCCCCAAGCCAAGCCAAAAAAATCCAACAGTTGCAATAGTTGCAGAATCCGGGACCCCAAGTATTGCAACTACACGAATTCAATCCGAATATTTTGCAATAATTGCAAAATCTGGGACCCCCAATTATTGCAGTTGTTTCAATTTTGAGAATTCAATTTCAATAATTGCAATAAGTGGAATGATTAATTAAACCCGGAGTTTGCACCCAGGCCAAATAATGCCAAGAATTGCAATAGTGCAAAATCCGGGATCCCCAAATATTGCGACTGCTGGAATTCAATTCGAGTAGTTGCAATAATTGCAAGAATCCGGTACCCCACGTATTGCAATATTGCAATTGTTGGCGGTTCATTCCAACCCCAGAAGTTCTGAAGCATGGCTTGATGTAAGCCTTTTGTGCCCAAGAAAATAGAGCGGAGCTCTAGGACTTTCTCAGGGTTATGAGCCCAACGTTTTAGGGCGACCCGGCCATGGCTTCGTCGGCGGGATCGGCGCTGACGGCTGAAGACGAGAAGAACTCGCCGGAGAAGGAGACTGCTCTGGTTCCATGGGGGGCGCCTCAGCCCAGCAGGGATGATGCGGTGGCGCTGGGACCTGCCAGAGCAGCGGAGGTGGCGACCAACCCGTTTTGGTCGGAGCGGGCTTGTGAAGAAGCTCAGCTGCGAGCTCTACGGCCAAAGGACTTGCCGGACACCGAAGAGGGGCAACGGATGCCGGTGCAAGGTGCAGGTGGTGTGGTCTATGGGGCCGAGGTGGCTGCAGGGGGCGTGGAGGAGCTCATGGGTCGGAGCGCTTTGGCAGGAGATGAAGAGCCTTAAAGAGCAGCTTCGTGAACGGCATCAGGCTGGTGGAGGGCCTGGAAGGCGAGAACTAGCTGATGCTTCCGGAGGCAGTGAAGGGCTAGCACATGGGGGCCCTGAACGGAGCGGCGTGCAAGGCGGTGGTCCTGGAGCAGATCTTCTGACCCTGTGGGAGTTGGATTTCAGCAAGCAGTGGAGGTTCATGACGGCCAAGGAGGAGTACGGGGTCAACCTTCGGGACACCGCGGAGGGCACGATGAGGGACATCGAGGAGTACCAGATGGAAGAAACGGGGGTCAAGGCAATGGAGCTGGGGGCTCTCGTGAACATGGGGAAGTGGCTCCTTTGGTACTGCGAGGAGGTGGTCCAGGAGCTGGAGGTATGGAAGGCCAGTTGGGTCAAGGATGGAATGTCTTGGCGGCAGCGTGTGGGGGTGGACAACCAGCTAGAGCTCAGCAAGGGGAAACCCGGACTGCACTTCAAGGTGTGGCTCATCAAGGTGGAGTGCAAGGAGGGAACCAACAACGTCATGAAGGAGGCCTACTATACAAGAAGGGAATGGTTGGCCTACGGGAAGACAGGCTCCTGGTGAAGGGCATGCTGCGGGTGGCGGCTATGGAGGACCGCCCTATGGGGCCTTCGGACATCAAGGTGATGGCGCTTCGGGGGCACCATGGATGGGGGGTTGGATGCCGGGTGAGACCATTCGCAATGTGGACCTGCCGACGCTGGGAGAAGTGAAAGAAGGGGAACTGGGTTCGCTGGTGGTGGGGAGGAGAAAGGTGAAGCTCAGACCACATCGGCGACTCCATCGGCGGCATCTTCACCGGAGAAGGAGAAATCGGAAGGCGGGGAGTCGATGGCCGCTTTGGTCAAGGAGGCGGCGGGACTTCTCAAGAGCTTGAGGGGGCCTTCCCTCAACCGGATGAGTGGGCCATCACTCAACCGGGTGCAGCTGAGCAACAAGA